TGTCCAGGTTAATCTCGAACTCCTGACCTCAAGTGATCTGCCCGCTGGGGGCTGGCCACACGGAAAAGCCAACCATGTAGTTAGTGTTGGGGCTTTGAGTTATGATACCAGTCCAAACTCCAGGAAGGAAAAATGGGGCTAGAGGTTGAGTTCAACCACATAGCCGATGATTCAAGCATGCCTAAATAATGAAGCCTTAATAAAAGCTCTGGATACCAAAGCTCAGGAGAGCATCCCTGGTCAGGATATTGTCAGGCTTCGATGCTGGGAGGGCAATGTGTCCCTGAGAATGAGGGAAGCTTCACATTTGGAACCCTCCCAGACTTTGCCCCAGGTACCTCTTCTGTTTCTGGTCTGTTCTTTTTTCTGTAATAGAACTGCAATCATAACAGTGCTTTCTGGAGTTCTGTGAGTTGTTCTAGCAAATTACTGAAACAGAGAGTGGCTATGGGAAACTCCAAATTTGTAGCCAGCTAGTCAGATGTAAGGATGGCCTGGAGACCCCTGAAATTGCTGCTAGTGTCTGGAGGACAGCTTTGTGGAGGAATGTGCCCTTCATGTTGAGTTCCCATTTTCTAAGTGTACAATTCAATAGCTTTTGCTAGGTTCACAGAATTGTGCAGCCATCATCCCCAACATGTTTTTTGAACTTTTCCAAATTTCAGATCTGGTGTCATCAAAAAGGAACCTCCACTCCAGGTTCATATACTTAATTTGATTATTTCATCTCTTTAGACTCTATTAATTTAGAATATTACATATATTTTAAATATTAGTGACTTTTTTTTGAGACAGGCTCTTGCTCTGTTGCTCACGCTGGAGTGCAGTGGTATGATCACAGCTCACTGCAGCCTTGGCCTCCTGGGATCAAGCAATCCTCCCACCTCAGCCTCCCAAGTAGCTGGGATCACAGGTGTGTGCCACCACACCCAGCTAATTTTTTATAATCTTTTTTTTTGTAGAGATGGGGGTCTCCCTATGTTGCCCAAGCTGGTCTCGTTGGGCTCAAGAAATCCTCCCAACTCAGCCAGTCAAAGTGCTGGGATTACAGGTGTGAGCCATCATGCCTGGTGACATTGACTTTTAAAGACTTTTTATCCAGCTATAACATAAGGTAAAAAGCACAAATCCTGTGTATTGCTTTTTCACCTGCTATAACCCTATAACCAGCATCCAGATTAAAAAACAGATCATGTGAACAGGAAATAAAAGGATTGGTGGCTATTTTGGCTAAGCCCAGGTGTTGCAGTTGTGTGTGTTTTGATCTAAGGGTAGCCTCCAGAGTAGCTGGGATTACAGGTACCCACCACCATGCCCAGCTAATTTTTGTATTTTTAGTAGAAATGGGGTTTCACCATGTTGGCCAGGGTGGTCTTGAACTCCTGAGGTGATCTGCCTATCTCAGCCTCCCAAAGTGCTGGGATTACAGGCGTGAGCCCCTGTGTCCGCCCTGACTTTGTAACTAGCTATACATGTGATACATATAGGAAATAAGCACAAAGTGGGCCAGTAGTATTAATGAAATCTAATGACTAAACATAAGTCCACAGAGGGAGAAAAACATTGATCAAATTCACAAGTCACACTTCTAATTAAATCTCTTTAATTTCCAGCGTCAGTTGTTCATAAATCTATCTACTCATATAAACAACTCTGCCCTTTGAAACGAATCCACTGTGGTTCGGATCTGTTGCCTGTTTTTCTTTTCTGAGAGTAGAGAGAGCTACCTTCATAAACAGCATTTCCTAACAAGAGCAAGGCAAAAAAAACTTAGTGCATTTGTGTCTTTCAGGGCAGACTGGTCTATCAAGTCCTTAATTTCCCCTCTCTCCTGTCTCCCTCCCTTCCCTAAAGGATGTGCCTGTAGTAGGTACAGCTTTCTACCATCCATCACAACATTTCATTCCCGTTTCTGATGTTCAAATATAAGTCAATTCTGGTCATCAATAAAAAAACCAGACTGCCAACAGGATAAGTAATGAGCCACTCAGATTAAGGTATGCACTAATAAAAATTTAATATCAGAAAACAGCATTTTTTAACCATTCACAATTAAAGTGGAAAGAGACAAAATTATAAGGCAGCCATCCATGGAATGATTTCATGTTTACAAGGGATCCAAAAAAGGGGACATTTAAAATCACTGTTCCAGCTACTGAACCAGGGGAACTGCAGTCTTAACCCATGAGATTTCTAACTTGCTGGCAGATACCACAAGAAAAAAAGATCAAAGCCAGTTTCCTTGTGTTAAGCCACTGGGTTAGGCTGAGCACAGAGAATTCCTAAATGGTTGTCTAGTTCTTTCCCACCAGTCACACATTTCCTTCAGGTGTCCTGGAGTGAATCTAGATGTCTCAGGTACAAACAGGTTACATCACTGGTTTTAATTTCATAGCATCTCCAACAGTGCACTTTGAGTGATGTGGACCATTCTGTATTGAGCAGAAATTTTCTAATGCAAGGAAGGTTCCTCTGTAGAACAACTACAGAGGATTCTCACTTAACGCTGCAGCAGTTCTGGATGAATCTGGTCATTATTCTCAGTCTCCCAAGGGGCTCTGGGACCCACAAGGCCGGCACGTTCTTTGGGGGTTTGTGCTGCTGTCATAGAGTTCCTGTGTTCAGTCCCTAGCTACCATGTGTTTCAGGGGCTTAATACACTCCGATGCTGGTGTGTCCTCTTAGTTCTAATCCTTGAAAAAGAGAAAAACCAGGCAGTGACACTTAGAAGTAGGCTGGTAAAAAAAAAAAAAAAAAAAAATCATAATCACATTTTCTCCTTTCTGCAAAGAAAGGACAACTCAAAACAGCTACTCCCTTTCTTTTCTCTAATGATTCAAAATACCAGAAAAGGGCTGACTTGGCTGTTTTGAATTGGGAAAGAAAAAGGTGAAAGGGGGACAAAGAGAAAACACATCACCTCTGTAGGTAGTACTGTTTCCAACTATCTACATTCCAGTGCAGAATCTTTGCCTAAAAAAAAATTTGGCAACAGTGTGCACAGGAAAACTGAACCAAACTTGGAACATCACTGATTTCGTGAAATAAGAACTGACAAGCAATTAACTGGAGAAGTGGGGGGAATGGATCAGTAGTATTCTTTAGCTTAATTTGCCATTTAAGAGAGCACTTGGAATCTGAGGAAAGTCTACCCCTACCAAGGAAAGGGAGTCAAATTGCAATTAAGATTAACTTTGGTTATATGGAAGGATGAATCATGCTTTTCATCATCAATTGCATCTCTTTGGTAGCCAATATTTCCATCTGTAATCATGGCAGCAACTTAAGTATTGCCAATGTTTTCAAACATGTTACAGCATTAAGGCATCCACATCTAAAGAGGCAGTTTTAAACAAGAGGAAAACGGAACTGAAATGTGCCAAGAAGTGAACATGGACATGGCCTCTCCTGGAACACTGCCCACCACCGCAGCAAGCTCTTCTTCCAGTGAAGGAGGCCTGTGCCATGCTGCTTGGTTCCCTGCTGCCTGAAGATGCATTTGAGCCCTATGAGATTAGTATGGCTATTTCTGCCTACTGACCAGGAGAGAAATGAGTAGTTCCTGAGGCAGCAGCTTTAAAATCTGGGAAAGCCCATTCATAGCTTCTGAGAGCTAAGAGGGCCGTGAAAGGTTTGCTTGTTAATAGTGAGGTCCAGAGGGGAAGGCAGATTTGGAAGTCAGATGGTTCAATCCTTGCCAAAATTCAAGGCTCCATCCAGCAAGATATGCTAGCCAAACTTTTAAGCATGATGGCAAGGCACTGCTGAAAGAGGCTTTGGCCAGCAGAACAATTTACTGACCATTGCACACAACAATGATAGAAAGCACTACTGTCCAAACCAAACCAGACGCTACAATCTGCTATTTATTTCACAAAGTCAGTTTCCAGAGAGAATCTAGGCAACCATATAGTTTGAAGGACCAGATGAAACCTCAAATCTCTCATAAAGTCAGCTGTTTCCATCCAATCAAGGAAGTCATTAAGTCATTTGGACTTTCCATCCTATACCTTCTCTTGGTTGTAAAATTGTATGCAATTGTTGCCAGTGACTACATAAAACTGTATCTTATTTGTGCTACTTTCCTCACTGTGGCCAGCAGAGGGCTCACAAGCTTTATTTCTACAGCCGCTGATCCAGTGACAAATTTACAAAGGAAATAAAGAAATCATAGGCATGCTGGCTTATGTGTCATAGAAAACATTTTTACAAACTACTACATCCACTGCCCTGAAGAAACTAGTCTCGGTTCCCCCTTAATGTAATGTGTTTTGAAATGGTACAGAAAATAAAAATAAATTAATAATACAATATTACACACTTATTTGACAAGACAGGGTTTACACAAATTTTGGCAAATGAGAAAAAAAAATTATCTTAATTTGTTAAACACTTTTGCTATCTCAATTGTTTAAATTACCAGAATATTAGTGATTGTGTCAATTTACACATGAGAGGGTGATATTTTAAGGGCCTAACAAAGCGGCATTTGACACAAAGGTAACTTCTTTGAAGGGGGATAAAGAATAAAGATATTATCTTCGTCATCACAGTTCAAGAAGTGGTTGTCCTGATAAGAATTCATCTCACACAAATATTAACACCAGCAGTAAGCAGCAAATTGTGGGGAGGAGAGACTAGGGGAAAAGTTAGGAGAAAAGCATGGAAAAGACGAAGAGACAAGAGACACGATTCCAATAAGCTTTAACTCAACAGGCAAACACTTCTTATTTATGATCCATCTTGCTACAGGTGGTTATGTGAGCAGACACCGTGTCCCCTAAGCTGACCTAGTATTTAGGTTCCTAGAGGGATTGCTGATCTGATAAGAGAGACAGAAAAAAAAGACAACTATACATATATATTTTGGTAGTCTTACTTTTAAAGAAGGCTACCATAAAGATATCAATAACCATCCAAAAATCACTTAAAGTTTAATATCCCTTAATTTCCAAAGCTACTTTGTGATCTGACTGTTCCTGAAGGAAAGCCTAGGCCTGAAGCTACTAGAACTTGGCTCCTCTCTAAGAATGTGGAGACAGATATTCTGCAAAGAGAACTTGAAAAGGAATGCTACAAAATACCAGTCACCTCTTCAGAGGCTACTCCCACCCCTCCTGCTCCATTTGATGGAATGGCAGGCTGGATTCAGAGAGGCATGTGCAAAAGGAGCTGTTTAAGTCCCTCTAGACATCCCCTTTAAATGGGTATCTCTTTTGAGTATAAAGTGAGCTTTCAATGTGTCTTGCCATCATTTTCCTGACTCTAATCCCAAATTAACTACAGTCACCTTTAGCATCTAAGAGAGTGGGTGCTATGACCTTCCATCAAGGCATATGGCATAGATGCTAAAGCACCAGTCTTACATGGTGGGAACCATGTTAAAAATCAATGGATAAAGTGGCAGAGCCTCTAAACTAAGCAGAAACTGAATTACAGAACACTGTATTTTCATAATTACTATTTCGATGTGAGTATGAAATTCTCCTCTTTTCCTTAAAACTAAATTTCATCTTCCCTGAGAATAGGGTCAAGAGAAACATTAAAACTCAAAATGTCAAGGGCCTTTTCAAAGATAACACAATGGGATGTCTATAGCTAACTGCAACATGTTTCTACTCTAAAAGCTTTTCCATTACTCAGGTTTTAATCTCACCTCCCTCCGGACTCTAGGAATACATGTGGAGATGGGCAAGGCGAGACAAGAGATTGAGGAAGTGAGTAGCTGTTCCTCGCCGGCTGTTCTCACTGGATGGCAAACGGCCTTGGACCGAGGCTGGACCTTGAACATTTAATGCTGGTGTCCTATTGACAGGATGAGGGGAATGAGGCAACCCAGAACCAGGGCTGCCACCTCCAGGCGGCTGAGGCCTCTCCCTCCTGTGGTGTCGGGCTTGTGGCTGTGCCCTATTCCGCCCACCTCAGGGAGGACATGTACTGTGGCAACATAAAGAAATGTCCCGGCAGAGAAAAGCATGGCCACTCCCGTGGCGTTCACCTCGGAAAGGGCTTCTTTACTGCTCTGTGAATTAAGAGAGAAAGGAAAAACTAAGTCAAGTAAAATTCAGGGTCAGGAAGAAGTCCCAATTAAAAAACACTAACTATTCTTGACTGGTGCTGTCTAGGACACTGGGGACATCTAGAGAACAGAGCAATTTTTTTTTTTTTTTTTTTTTTTTTTTGAGACGGAGTCTTGCTCTGTTACCAGGCTGGAGTGCAGTGGTGCGATCTCGGCTCACTGCAACCTCCAACTCCCTGATTCAAGCTATTCTCCTGCCTCAGTCTCCCGAGTAGCTAGGATTTTTTGGTATTTTTAGTAGAGATGGTTTCACCATGTTGCCCAGGATGGTCTCTATCTCCTGACCTCATGATCTGCCCACCTTGGCCTCCCAAAGTGCTGGGATTAGAGGCGTGAGCCACCGTACCCGGCCAAGAATAGAGCAATTTTAAGTTATTCATAGAAAGCTTCCAAATAAGGGTTTAAGAATATCAGTGATATATGCAATTAATTTTTTAAAAAACTTATTGTAAATCAACAATTTATAATTGTATATATTTATAGGATATAAAGTGACATGATTCATGAGTATAATGTGGAACAATTAAGCTAATTAACATCTGTCATCACAAATATTTATCATCTTTTCTGGTGGGAACATCTGAAATTTACTCTTAGCAATTTTGAAATGTACCACACACTACTATTAACTATATTTACCACAGTTCCATCATTCTGTCCATCTATCCATCTAACGTATCTGTCTTTAGAGATGAGGTCTTGCTACATTGCCCAGGCTGGAGTTCAGTGGCTATTGACAGGCACAATCGTAACACACTACACCCCGAACACCTGGGTTCAAGCAAGCCTCCTGTCTCAGCTTCCCAAGTAGCTGGGACTACAGGTGTGTGCTACTGCTCCTAGCTCACAATTGCTTTTTAAAACTAACTTTAAGTGCTGGTTCAACAGGTTTGGCTTGTATTATTCTTGAGATAGAACTGATAACATAGTATTGCAGATATTAAATTTAAGACATACATTTATTGATTCTACTAATATTTAATAAGCATCATCTATGCACCAGGCTCTGGGCCAGGTACTTGAGATAAAAGTAATCGAGATGCAGCAGCTGCCCTCATAGAGCTTAGAAATATCTCATAAACTAATCTTTTAAAAACTCATTTCAACCTTTTCTATTAAAAACGTGGACCTGTAGACTAAGACAATTAATTAAAATGGTAAGAAAAGGACATGCCACAGATGCAGCAAGTAACTCCACGTCTCCAGAATTATCAGTACCTTCCTGTCAAAAGTTGAAAAAACTTGCACTGATTACTGAAATGACAGAGTAATCTTTCAAAGGGAACAACATACTGCTCACTGAAAGAAGAGAAGGTTCTTCAGGTAAACAGAAAGGGTTTTTATAACACACTGTTAGCAACTAAGATCAACAAACCCTTGCTTAACAGGAACCTAGCCATTCTTTATCTCATTTTTCATATGTTCCTATTAATACAGGTTTTACTGCCAAATACTGAATTGACTGACACTCAGAAGAATCAATGACCTTTAGAGAGGGCGTCGGGGAAAGAGTTCCCATCAACTAGCCCTGAGTCAGTATGCTTCTAAGATTTTCCTTCAGTTGCCTGCCAGTTGACATTTAGGAGGGTTGTTGCTAAGAACTACAGCCCAGACAGACAGGATTATAAGGCATGGAAAGGTCCAGCTTGGAAGCAGACGAGCACACGTTACCTCAGGTCTGAAGCTATGTTCAGTATAAAGTATTCAATATAAAGAACTGGACAGTCACTATTTGGTGACCGGAGAGCTGGGAGGAGAAGAGGTTGAGTTAGCTGCTCAGCTGCTGTTCTCAAAGCTGCCATGTGGCTTGTTACTCATACTTCATGTGTCTACCTCAACATTAAATATGGACGGGTTTATTAGGTATCTGTCAAATGAAACTGGCACGGCTGGTTAAGTTACACTATTTTAAATATTGAAGGACAATCATATTTATGCAAATATTCTTGGAACGGATAGGGAAGTAGTTTTCAAATTAAATGAATAAGGAAATGCTACATTTCTGAAGTGGACAAATTGGAACTAAGATATTTACCCTGTACAATTTTTACTCCTAATTTTATCATTAGTTTGAGAGAGAAACTTATTGGAAAAATTCAATCCTAGAGACCATACGTCCTAAGAGATCAAAGACACTTGTTTAGATAGCTAGGAGTAGATTCGCTTACCTTACTCAGTCCTAAGTATGTCAGCATGGACATAACTGGTGCTGCCAGTGCAAAGACCAGCAAGTGCTTTCTGATTCGATTCCGCTCTAAGCCAGCATGCATCAAGAAGGAAACCAGTCCAAAAGCAGCTGGTGCCTGGAAATAAAAAATAACCTCTTATTATCACTCTAGAAGTATGGATTCCTTCTACATCAAGAAGTACATGCCATTTGACTATGTTTTCTCATACAAAGAAAAACTCACAAAAGGACGGGCACAGTGACTCACACTTGTAATCCTAGCACTTTGGGAGGTCGAGGTGGGCAGATCACCTAAGGTCAGGAGTTTGAGACCAGCCTGGCCAGCATGGTAAAACCCCATCACTACTAAAAATACAAAAATGTGTGATGGCGGGTGCCTGTAATCCCAGCTACTTGGGAGGCTGATGCAGGATTATCATTTGAAACCCCGTCTCTACTAAAAATACAAAAAAAAAATAAATTAGCTGGGTGTGGTGGCACTTGCGTATAGTCCCAGCTACTCGGTAGGCTGAGGCAGGAGAATAGCTTGAACCTGGGAGGTAGAGGTTGTGGTGAACTGAGATCGTACACTGCACTCCAGCATGGGTGACAGAGCAAGACTCCGTCTCAAAAACAAAACATAACAAAATCCACAAAAACCAAAAAACAAAACCAGGCAGAATACTAAAGCTGAGCTATGCCTTTAGGAATTAATGTTTACCAAGAAAAAATTCCTATTCATGTGTGTTTCTTGGACAGTAGAAAAGAGAAACGGTCAAGAAAAGAAAAACACTTTTGAACAAAAATTACTATGAAATATAGAAATCTGAGGAGAATCTGACAGTTTGTGTATATGGCTACACAAAAAAATTGAAACCTATCAAGCAAAAGCTTAAGAAAATGAAACAAGAAGCTTTGTAGAGATTTATCCAATTCTCTAAAATGAATAGCAATTATGAAACTAAGAAAAATTTCCCTAATTCCAGAAAAAACATTAAGGACCATGAGAAATTTTAATTATGAAGACACTCAATACCAAACCTTACACCACAATTTTGCTTACCTTATGCAGCATGATTGCCACAAACACAATTAACTGGACACTAGTCTGTGAAGTAGAAGCTGCTGCTCCCAAAGCAACACCATCAGCTATATTTAGAAACAAGGAAACATAAAATATCATAAACAATGACAACAACAACAGTGTAGTGGCTGAGTGTGTGAGCTTTATATCAGGTCCAGCTGGGTGCCAGCCTTCTTATCTTTAAAATGTGTTCAATAAAGTATGTATTTCTTAGGGTTTTCCTGAGGATTAAATGAGATAACTTACATAAACAGCTTAGCATCTGGCCCAGACTATTCAATGTTAGTTATTTTGGTTGTTGTTGTTACTGTAAAACTGACATCCAATTTTCCAACTAATCAAAAAATCCATTGATTAATCAAACTGTAACAAGAGAAATACCAAAGAAGAATTTCAGAGGAAGCATCTCTTAATATAGGTAAAGAAACAAAACAGTCCCATCTACTCGGGAGGCTGAGGCAGGAGGATCACTTGAACCCAGGAGGCAGAGGTTGCAGTGAGCCGAGATCATGCCACTGCACTCCAGCCTGGCGACAGAGCAAGACTGCGTCTCAAAAAAAAAAAAAAAAGATACTAGAACTCTATATAGATGATGAATATATAATGAGTAAACATTGGTTGAATGAATGAAATGTGTTAGAAAATCGTATTATACTGAGAAAGGACCAGGTAACAGTGTATCACCTTTCACATGCCTTTGTCACTGACAGAATTCTACTACTAGGACTAGGTTTGGCTTATGATTCTAAAGTGTACCCTGTCAGCAATGCTGAGACCTCTGCATTCCACCACATACCACTTCTGCTTAAACTGATGCTTTGCATGTAGACTGGTAACAGGGCTGTTCTGGACAAAAGTGCCACGGCTCTTTTCCAGATGACATTCTAGAGCAGAGGTCAGCAAACTTTTTCTTAAGGGCTAGAGAGTAAATATTTCAGGCTTTGCAGTTACATGGTCTCTTGCAACTATTCAATTCTGCCATTGTTGCACAAAAACAAAAGAAATGGATCATTGTCATTGTCTATCTCTTCCTTAGCCTCCTGCAACTTTATCTTCATTCTAACATCAGTCATGTTTGCCTTTCTCCATCTTTTATTGCCATCATCCTAATCCAAATTTTTATCACTCAAACAAACCTAAATTAGCTATAGGTTCCCTACTCCCATTTTCCCCTTATCTAATTCATTGCTATAGACACAGACAATACATACATACATGGTAATGGCTGTGTTCTAATAAAACTTCCTTAATTTGAATTATATAATTTTCATGTGCTACAATATGTTCTTCTTTAAAGAAAAAAAAAACCTGCCATGTATGTACCTATGCAACAATCTTGGATGTTCTTCACATATACCCCAAAACCTAAAACGAAACAAAACAAAACAAAACATTAAAAAGAATAGAAACCTTGGGGATGCTCTGCAGAGAGGTAGAAAAAAAAAAGTACAAAAACGATTCTTAGCTTGCAAACACCTGACACTGAGCATGCCAGGCTTGTGCTTGTGTTGGAGGACTTCATTAAGTAACCGTTTCCTCAAAGGCCAGTCCAAGAGCATTCAGTGTAGATAGTCCCTGAAATATAAACACTGAGGTCTCCCCTGTGTGACAGAAAACAAAAGGTTCTACTGCAATCCAACCCTACCTGCAGCATGGACGACCAGACCCAGCGTGGTGGTGATTTTGGAATTGCTAGACCTTGCTGCTTCTGGATCTAAAGTGAAAATGAGAAAGACAGCATTAAGTTATGTGTGAGACAGAAACTGTTCAAACAATGATCTAGAGGTGAAAGAATTTTGTGAAAGGTCTTAAAGTAGATTATTTTCCTCACTACCGTCTTTTTTTTTCTCTCTTTTTTTCGGCGGGGGAGATGGAGTTTCACTGTCGCCAGGCTGGATGGAATACAGTGGCATGATCTCAGCTCACTGCAACCTCCACCTCCTGAATCAGCTCCAGGGATTCTCCTGCCTCAGCCTTCCCAGTAGCTGGGAATACAGGCACGTACTACCACGCCCAGCTCATTTTTTTTTTTTTTTTTTTTTTTTGTATTTTTAGTAGAGATGGGGTTTCACTATGTTGGCCAGGCTGGTCTGGAACTCCTGACCTTCAATGATCTGCCTGCCTCACCCTCCTAAAGTGTTAAGATTACAGGCGTGAGCCACCGCACCTGGCCACTATCTTTTTTCTTTCTGATTCAAAGAGAAGCCATCCTGAAGAGGTGGCTAAGAAGGAACTCTTCATTTGACCCAGCCTTCCCTTAAGAAAAATCACTGAAATGTGTAACCCCCAACAACCCCAACTTCCTCCTATTCCTTAATCCTCTTCCTTTACCACTCCAAGGAAAGTGCTCTACGGCCTCTGATCATTTCTTTCCAGACCAATCTAACTGTCATTGCCTATCTCTTCCTTAGCAACCTGTAACTTTATCTGCATTCTAATATGTGTCACATTTTTATTGCCATCATCTTAACCTAGATTTTCATCACTCAAACCTAAATTAGGAATAGATCCCTACTCCTAGACTTCTCCCTAATATAATTCATCTTACACATCCATATCAGATCCATCTTTTGAAAACACCACCCTTAGCAGGGTGCAGTGGCTCATGCCTGTAATCCCAGCACTTTGAGAGGCCAAGGCAGGTGGATCACCTGAGGTCAGGTGTTTGAAACCAGACTGACCAACATGGTGAAACCCTGTCTCTACTAAAAAATACAAAAATCAGCCGGGTATGTTGGCAGGCACCTGTACTCTCAGCTACTTGGGAGGCTGAGGCAGGAGAATCGCTTGAACCCAGGGAGTAGAGGTTGTAATGAGCGGAGATCGTGCCATTGCACTCCAGTCTGGGCAACAAGAGTGAAACTTCATCTCAAAACAACACCACTCTTCTGATGTGTCAGTTAACAGGTAAGAATCTGCTGCTTTTCAAATTCAGGGCAAACTGCTATATTAGGTAGGTTCCTAAGCCCTTTAACAGCTAGTTCCAACTTATTTCTCAATGTCCAGTCTAGTTAAACCAGTTTATCAACACCATCTAACAAAACATTCTTATTTTCCTTTCCACAAATCTCCTTACCTGTAATTCTTGGCACATACTGAACTTCTCAGCTCGTTAACCCAAAACTTAGACATCGTTCAAACTACAGAACCACTTCCCTCAAGAAAGAACAAAATACTGAAGATTAAGCATGGTGGCTCATGCCTGTAATTGCAGCACTTTGGGAGTCGAGGTGAGAGGATCACTTGAGGCCAGGAGTTTGAGACCAGCCTGGGCAATATCATGAGACCCTATCTCTACAAAATTTAAAAAATTTAGCCAAATGTGGTAGTGGTGCATGCCTACAGTCCCAGGTATCTGGGAAGTTAAGGTGGGAGGATCACTTGCCCCTAGGAGTTTAAGGCTGCAGCAAGCTGTGCTCATGCCACTGAACTCTAGCCCAGGTGATAGAGCAAGACCTTGACTCAAGAAAAATTAAAAATAAAAATTAAAAATAAATTTAAAAAATTGATTCTGGCTCAAAACAACTCTCCCTTTGCCTACATCTAGTGATCTATGGGGGACAGTCTCCACATGTGACTTCAAAGGTTCTTCTATATTACCACCTCAGATACAGAAAGCTATTTTTACGTAAATGTTTTATATCCCCAGATGGGCTGTAAATGATAAAGCATTAAATTTTCTACTTCTCTTTTCCTTTAACATATCTCACAGAATGTAGCATAGCACTAGGCACATAACAGTTACTTAATAAATCCTTGCTGAAGAGTGAAAACGAGTATTTATGTGTATTAAATTAAGATGTTACTGCTATCATAGGAAACATATAAGTAAATAAAGTTAAAAGATGGGATCATCAGAATGCCAGGTAAAATGACAGATGAATATCAGTCAAGTAAATTACAGGGGATTTAATCTTCTTAGGAGTCCAGCACATGAAAGGAAGGGGTTTACAATGGGAAAGTATACGAGTAAAGTAACAAGTCACCTCCTATTAATAAATGATATTTTCCTACTAAAATATTGCAAAGATGGGAAGCTAAAGAGCCAGGAAACAGTTAAATGTTACCCTGAATTGGACAACAGTCAAATTACACTGTGTACAAGCTGGCTTTGGCCTTATTTTGTACAAAGACTTGGGGTCTAGTTACACTTAGGATCTTAAAAAATAAGAGGCTTTAAAATTAGAAAGTTTTTATAATCCTATAGAAAAAGACTGCAGTTTAGCAGAAATTAATATACTTTTATTGATATTTTATAATATGTAAAACTCTGCAAAATAAAAACCACATCATCACACACATGAAAGCCAGCAAAAACAATGACTTCAGAGGTAAAACAGGAGGAAGAATAAAGGAACACAAGCTACATTTAATTCTCTGTGCAGCATTACAGGGTACTACTGGGCCCATACATTTTATTTTTATTTTTTTAGAGACAGAGTCTTGCTCTGTTGTCCAGGCTGGAGTAAAGTGGTCTGATCACAGCTCACTCTCACTTCAGCCTCAAACTGAAGTGATCCTCCCTCCCATCTCAGCCACCTGAGTAGCTGTGACTACAGGCACGTGCCACTATGCCTGGCTAATTTTTAAATTAATTTTTTGTCGAGATGGGTCTTGCTATGTTGTCCAGGCTGGTCTCCAACTCCTGACCTCAAGCCATCTTCCCACTGTGGCCTCCCAAAGTACTGGGATTACAGGCGTGAGCCATTGTGCCTGGCCTGACAATCACCATATATATCTTTAGAATCAGGTTTTTTTTTTTTTTAATCATTTGTTAAATGGAAATTTCTTTTAACTTACTGAGGAAAATTTTTATTTTTCATATTTAACATGTTTACATTTACATACATGTTTCAAAAGACAGAAGTGAGTGGCCATTTCATCATTTTCCAAATTTCTCTTTGGCAGATCAAGATTCTGAGAAAGTAGAGATGGTATGGAAGAAAGATACCCTGAGAGAAGGCTGGCTTTGCATCAGCTCGGTCCTCTTCCTTCTTTTCTTGCATAAGCAAACACTCACACAAGTACATACAAACACAGACAGCATGGGATGTTAGAGGGAAAC